CGTATGAAACTCAAAGAAGAGCCAGATGATTGAGGCTGAGAGAGCTTCCCCAGGGAGAATGGACAGTGACCTGGGACAGCGTTCCCCTGGGCTCTCGGATGCTGTTCGACTTTCAGTCTTCTCCTCTGTGATAGGAACTCAGTTTTCCTTGGTCAAGGGAGTTGGAACAGCACTGTTGAAGGCAGTGGTGTTCTCATTAGTGATGAGTCATCAGGTAGAGAAGGGAGCTTCAGAGGAGACCCCTCCCCCCTTGGCTGCTCCCCGGCTGCTCTAGGTTGAAGTCCAGAGTGGCATGATCTGGAGCATTGTTTCTGATCCCAGCATTGGGATCTGGTGTGGTTGTGTGCGTGGAGTGCTATGAGATCTCTGAAGTGTGAACCTGGTTCTCTGTCGCGCTTGTGAGCTAGTGGTCAGTTCACGATCCTCAAAACCAGACACGTGGGGTCCTCCTAACCGCTTGTGCATTCTGTTAGAGTTGTCTGCAGTTTCTGGAGAGATCCTTTAAAAAAATTTTTTTTTATTTATGTAAAAGAGAGAGAGGGACAGATCTTTGATCCACTGGTTAACTTTTCAAATGGCCCTAACAGCCAGGGCTGGGACAGGCTGAAGCCAGGAGCCTGGAACTCCATCCATGGGTGGCAGGGACCAAGCCTCTGGGCCATCTGCTGCTTTCCCAGGCACAGTAGTAGGGAGCTGGATGGGAAGTGGAGGATGCTGGCATCGCAGGCACAGCTCAACTTGCTGTGCCACAACAACGGACCCTGGAGGAATCCTCTGCACTGCCCACTGTGGTTTCTCCTCCCTTCCCCAGAACCTACCTGAGAGGACACACCCCCTGTGAGCCTCAGTGCCCTCCCAGCCTTTAGGCAGTGGACTGTTCTTTGGAGTCAGGAGCCCAAGAGCCTCATGAGTTTTGTTATCATTTGTGCTTTCTCTACCTGTCATGGAAGGCCAGGGTGTGGGAAGCACTTACCACGCGATCACAGAATTAGGATTCTTTGGCCCAGCCCCAGCTGGCGCTTTCTTTGACCTCTGCCTCCAGGTAGCCAAGTGGCACATTCGGCCTGAGGTCAGCTGATGAGCCCAGGGCTCTGCAGTAGGGTGGGGATTTCTGACTTGCTAGAGCATAAGATTTAGATTGACCCTAGGCACACGGTTCCCCAGGCCTCTGCCTGCGCAGACCTGGCTGCCCTGGAGTCCAGATGTCCAGCTGCTGTGAGCCTTGGAGAGACACTTCATGTTGTCCCAAGTCATGGGGCACCGTGTGCAGGGCATGGATTTAGGGGATGGGGAAGGAGCAGAGTACAAGGCCTGGCAGTGGCTTGGGAGGAGGAGGCCGGACGTTCCAGACAGGGCATGAAGGCTGGATGCCCTGCAGCAGTGGGTTCTTGAAAGAAGACTCCACAAACTGTTGAAATCTTTACTTAATGTATGCTAAACTGATCTTCTGTATATAAAGAGAATCGAAAATGAATCTTGATGTGAATGGAAGGGGAGAGGGAGTGGGAAAGGGGAGGGTTGCGGGTGGGAGGGACGTTATGGGGGGGAAGCCATTGTAATCCATAAGCTGTACTTTGGAAATTTATCTTCATTAAATAAAAGTTAAAAAAAAAAAAAAAAAGAAGACGACTCCAGAGCTTGGGAGACTGTTTCCTTAATCATGTCTATAAAGACCCTGAAGGCCTTACCACCCCCTCTCCCTCTTCCTCTGCCTGGGCAGGGCCTTCCTCCCCGAGGGTCTGGTCAGCTCTTTCTTTGGGGTTAGCATGTTTCCTCCAACCTGGACTGCAGCCCACCGCCTCCGGGCTGTCCAACCCTCTGTGTGTCTTGGTTGGCACCAGAATCTCGGTCAGACATCGGGGCTCCCTTGCTCAGGGTCTTTCTTTGGCTCCCTCACACCTTCTGGATAAAGCCCGAGCTCTTCCTATCCTTCCCGCTTTAACCCTTCCAGCCTCACTTCTGCACAGCCTCCCTCCTGCCACAAAGGTGCAGGTGCCACCCCTTCCTTCCTTGGCCCAGGGTTTCCTCCCTGGGGATGCCTCCACACTGCTCTGTCTGCTCCCTGGGCTGCCAGCTGCCTCTGATGTCTGTCTCCCATTTGAGTGCTTCTGCCCTCGTTTCCCACCATCAGAGTGCTGGGCCCACCCAGTGGAAATGGCCTGCTAAGTGGCTGGATTTCTGATAGACCTGCAGGAAGCACACAATTCTTTGTCTGCCTTGCTGGTGCCCGGCTGATGTTTACATGTGGAGGCTGTGGCCTGCTCTGCTTCTGACACATCGCAGCAAGGTCTGGGCATCTGCTTTTGCTGGGAGCATAGGAGATGCTACAAAAAGCTGTGTAGGCTCAGCCCCCTGAGTCCCTCACTGAACACTGAGTGGCTCCGTCAGGCTCCTTTCAGGGCTGGTCTGAGAGAGGAGATGCATCAGCTTCTCCACCAATTCCAGGAGGCTGCTCAAAAACCAGAGCTGGGGCTGGCTGGCCGGCTCGGTCATGAGGATCGCACACCCTTGCTGCTCTCTCTGTGGTCCATAGACCATCAGCAGCAGGTGCAAGCTTGTTTGGAAATGCAGACTCCCAGGCCCCACCTCCCTTGGATCGCAGCCTGCGTGGTAACAAAAATCCAGAGGCTTGCTTCTACCTCTTTTATTGTGAGGAGCAGAGAGACCCTCTGGAGCATGGTCAAGAAAGGGTTTGCTGTACCAGGACTTGGGCCAGGGAGGGGCACATGCAGGATCTGGTGAGACTGAGGGCAGGAAATGTGGTGTGTGTAGGGCGTGGGAAGCAGCTTCAGGAGTGTAGTCCCCCCCCCCCCCCCCCCCGGCACCACTGGGCTGCTGCTTCTCAGTTGGTACCACCTGCTGGCCACTTCTCTGTTTTGTTTCACGTTTTGCAAGGAGTGACTCTGGCTGCTTGGTCCCTGAGATCTAAGCAGCTGTGGCCAGGGGTTCATGGTACCAAGCAGGCCTCTCGAAGTGCCAGGATTGTGAGTTGGAGTCTCATGCAGTTCGGCCCTGGGGCATGAGCTGGGAAGCGTGCCTGGTCCCTGCAGCCATTCTCAGGTACAGCGAATTCTGTACAAAGGCTGCGTGGCTCAAGGGTGTGCGCTCCTGGGTTTCTATCCCGTGTGTGTGGCTGGCAGTGAAGGTGCTGGTGGATTGTGAGCAGAAGTTTTCATGTTGGCTGCCTCCCCTGCACATGTCCTGGCCACTTATCAACAGCATCTGCCTTGGGCTGGGCTGGGTTGCGTTCCATTCTCTGCTTCTGGCACCTCAAGGGCCATCCTTCAGCCCCTGTCCCTCTCACCTCCTGATTTTCCCTCTGCCCGTCAGATTGAGGCTTGTGTGAGGCTGGTTTGTCTTCCCTGACCACCTCCGCCTTCTCCTTCATGCCCTTGTCTGAGTCTCGGCATAGTTGGGGCCCCAGTCCTCTGTATTCTGTGCTAGAATAGGCACCAGCCTCACGGCCCTTCTCCAAAGGAACGGGCTCCTTCCTGACACCGTGGCCTAGTTTGACAGGCTCATCCTGTGAGGCAGACAGGCTAGGATCCACCCCAGCTCTTCCTCTTGTTATTTTTTGTTTGTTTGTTTGTTTTCTATTTAATTGAGAGAGAAAAAACAGAGTGAGCTCCCATCTGTTTTTCATTCCTCAAATGCCCACAATGGCTGGTGCTGGGCTGGGGTCAAAATCAAAAGTGGAGAACTCAGAACAGGTGTCCCATGTGGGTGGCACAGACCCAGCCACTTGAACCATCATCTGCTGCCTCCCTTTTGTGTATTGGTAGGAAGCTGGAGTCGGGGCAGGAGCACTGGGACTCAAACCCGGCTACTCTGACGTGGGATGTGAGTGTTTTCATTGCTAGGCCAAATGCCCACCCCCTGGCCGCATTCCTAAAGCCTCTGCAAGTGGATGTGATGATACCCAGCTCATGAGGCGGCTGTGGGATTTAATGATGTCGCTCGTCTGTCCCACTGCTGACACAGAGCTTGCCACTGAGTAGACTAAGTGAGCTGTAACTGTTACGTTTCTTAATAGAAAACGGGGAGTTCCTCGCTCTGGATCTTGGAGGCTCCAAGTTTCGCGTCTTGAAGGTGCAGGTCTCCGCAGAGGGGAAGCGCAGTGTCCAGATGGAGAGTCAGTTCTACCCCACGCCCAACGAGATCACCCGTGGGAACGGCTCCGAGGTACCCCGTGGGGCAGGGCAGGCCAGGCCCTGGCGGCCTCTGAGAGTGGCCCTGCCTGAGCCCCGCGTCCTGTGCGTTCTCCTGTCTGCAGCTGTTTGAGTACGTAGCTGACTGTCTGGCCGATTTCATGAAGACCAAAGAGCTGATGCACAAGAAGCTGCCGCTCGGCTTCACCTTCTCTTTTCCCTGCAGACAGACCAAGCTGGAGGAGGTAAGGCCGGAGCCCAGGAGGGGGGAAGCTGGGCAGGGTTGGGCAGGGTTGGGGTTCTAGGGTAAGAGGAAGTGGGCCTGGCAGGAATCAGGCTGGACACGGGCGAACAGCAGGAGCTTGCTTATTTGATTGATTGTCTTTTTCTTTAATTTTGCACTCAACATGGGCACAGCAAAGGGAAGAAATTTTTTAAAATATTTTATTTATTTTGAGAGATAGAGTTATAGACAGAGGTCTTCCATCCACTGGTTTGCTCCCCAAATGGCCGCAGCCGCTGGAGCTGGGCTGATCCAAAGCCAGAAGCCAGGAGCTTCTTCCGAATCTCCCATGTGGGTGCAGGGGCCCAAGCACTTGGGCCATCCTGTACTGCTTTCCCAGGCCATAGCAGAGAGCTGGACTGGAAGAGGAACTGGCACCCATGTGGGATGCTGGCAACACCGGCTGAGGCTTTTAGCCCACTATGCCACAATGCCAGCCCCTGGAATGTTTTTTCTCAAACCTGGGTGTGCATCTGAATCCCCTAGAGGGCTTATTAAACACAGATCGCTGGGCCCACCCTGTGGTTTCCTAATGTGGTCTGCAGCCAGGCCCCAGGTTTGTATTTCTAGGAGGTGCCTGGGAGATTCTGAGGCTGCGGGTCCGTGGCCCACACTTGGACCCCCTAACACAGCTGCCCAAGGTGACAGCTCCAGGAAGCTGCCTCCCTGGTGAGCCCACAGGAGGAAGCTGGAGGTAGGGTTGCTAGAGTGAGCTGTGTCACCAATTCACCGCTATGTCTCCACTTTTCAGTTTATAAACAGGGCAGGCACTGAACCTGCCATTAGGTGAATTTGTCAAAGTCAGTGAGGGGATGTGGACTAGGACGCTGAGCTTGCAGGGGCCAGGGGTTACCATCAGTCAAGTCTCACCAGGCCGCTCCTGTGTTGGGTGGTGGCCCCCAGTCTGCTTTGCCTTCTGGTTATAACCCCCCAGTCTGACTGTCAAATCATGGCCTTCATTGAGGTCATGATCCGCCTTGGGATGGGTTTGATGGGATTGGTCTGAGCCACCTGCTGTTGTGAGATACTAGAAGGGCTGAGCTTTCAGGACCACAGACCTGGCTTTGAATCCCAGCTTGGAGCAAGAGGTGTCCCTGCGGACGATTCCGTAACTTCTCATTTGTGGAGCAGCGATACTAATGTCTCCTGGGCTGGCAGGGCGGTGTGGGAGTGGGGGTTGGTGTGGGGGAGTTGGGGCTGGATGGAGCATTTGTAAAATGCCAGACACTGCCTGGGGCCTAAGTGTAGCTGCTGGCTGCAATAACTGTCTTTGTGTTAACTGGATCTGTGTCTCTGTGTGTGTTTTTAATTTTTCTTCTGTTTAAAAGGGGGAGAGACAGAGAGAGAGGTCTTCCACCTGCTTCTTCACTCTTCAAATGCCCAACAATAGCCAGGGCTGGGCTAGGCCAAAGCAGGGAACCCACAACTAAATCTGGGTCTTCCATGTTGGTGGCAAGGACCCAAGAACCCAAGTACTTGAACCATCACCTGCTGCCTCTTGGGGTACACATTAGCAGGAAGCTGTATTAGAAGTGGAACTAGGACACGAACCTAGGCACTCCCATATAGGAGATAGCCATCCCAAGAGCCGACTTAACCATGGCACCAGGCTGGTGCCGCGGCTCACTAGGCTAATCCTCCGCCTGCGGCGCCGGCATCCCAGGTTCTAGTCCCGGTTGGGGCGCCAGATTCTGTCCCGGTTGCCCCTCTTCCAGCTCTCTGCTGTGGCCCGGGAGTGCAGTGGAGGATGGTCCAGGTGCTTGTGCCCTGCACCCGCATGGGAGACCAGGAGGAAGCACCTGGCTCCTGGCTTCGGATTGGCACAGCCGTAGCAGCCATTTGGGGGGTGAACCAACAGTAAAGGAAGACCTTTCTCTCTGTCTCTCTCTCACTGTCTAACTCTGCCTGTCAAAAACAAACAAACAAAAAACGACATGGCACCAAACGCCCAGCCCTTTGTGCTTTGGAGAGCAGGTGCTGTGGTGTGTGATTCTTCTCCCCTCACCCTGCCCACTCCAGGGTTTCTCTAGAATACTGTTGTACTTGGTAGGGCTTGGTAGCTGGCTCGTGATTGAAAGGTGCAACTAATCATTTATTTAATCCTATTGAGTGGGGGGTTTGCCATCATCCCTACAGGAGAAAGGCTGAGGTTTACATTCGCATTCTTTTATAAAGAATAGATTGGGAATATAATGGAAAGTTTTTGGAATGTTTAGGTTAGGCCAAGGGGAGCTTTGCTCTGGGCTTCGCTGTTTTTTTCTGGCCCTGGGGAGGCAGCAGGTGATGGCTGCAGTGCTTAGGTCTCTGCCACCCGCATGGGAGACCTAGCTGAAGTTCTGGGCTCCTATCTCTGGCCTGGCCCAGCCCTGCTGTTGCAGGCATTTGGAGAGTGAACAAGTGGATGGAAGATCTTCATCTACCTATCTGTTTCAAATAAATAAAAAAAATTTTTTTTAATGTCAGCAGGTGCCTACCATTAAAAAGCTCTTTGACCCATTTTCTGTTCTTTCATGATAAGGATTTTCAAGTAACATTTGAACTAAGGAAGGAAGCTAGATTATACTGAAGAAGGGAGAAATACTTTCTCTCATCGAAGTCTGGTTGAAATACTTGTATTTTATAAATTTTCCCGATAGACTACCTTGCAAGAAAGTTCAGTAGAAAAGCTCCAACCAACAAAAAACTCATTCATAACCATAACTGAACGTGG